AGAATTGATGTTTACTTTTACAGTTTCTAGATGATGTAAATTACGTGATGGTTTGGTACCGTGAATTGTTTCGAATCGCTACTTGATTTGGATCGTAAAGATGAAGCAAAATTATGCCGTGGGTGTTTTTTCTTTAAGAAAACAATTCAAATTAATAACGTGTTAATCTAAATTTATAAATTTTAGGGTAACCAACACTCTTAATTTAATGAATATTTATTGCATACACAAAGAACGATGCTTTTAGTAACTGATAAGCGAAATCAAAGTCCAACTAACAATAGATTTGTTGCACTTGGATAAGCCACTGCCTTTATTATAAAATAAGTTTATTGTTAAAGAAAAATATACTCCCGAGAGAGACTTACCCAGCTCGAATGTGGATTAGTCGGAACAATGACTTTGGACACCGAGTACACAATATATAGTAAAAAATAAAAATAAAAATAAAAAAGAAGAAGAAAAATATACTCCAAGTAAGAACTTACAAACCAGACCACCCTGCCCACTGGTCGGAACAAGTGAATATGCTAGCACATCATATGCAAACTATGATCTTGGATCAATGTATTTGTAGCTCAAAATATAAAGGTGTCCCTAATATTGATCATGATTCTGCAGAATTAAAGGAGAAGGCAACGAGCAACTCAAGTTCAGTTTTGGAAGGGGAAATACGTTGTTGTTTTTTACTCCATATTCATACCACACAAATTCATTTCACATATTCTTCTCTTTTTTTTTTTCAATCTCAAATTATAACAAATTTTTTTCCAGAAAATTCATATTATCGTATTTGCAACATTTTCTTTTCCCTTCCTTAAAAAGAGATCATCCTATGTCTTGTAACATTCTCAAATGACTCTCAATTTTTCAACATATTCATAATAAGATCTAAAACAAAGAATCATTTGTTGTTAGATAAGATCAAAAAACATAACGTTCATCCTCTCTTTGTTCACCATTATTATTAATGCCCCTCCCTTGTGATAAATGGCACAAAATCTTGAAGTGGTGTCATCGTCATTGCATAAGTTTGTGTCGAGTATTTGATGTTTTCATATTCACTTCATCAATTATTTATCCAAACAATGATCTTTGAAATTCTAATAGTAAATTTTCGGTATTTGTGAGATGTATATTCGTAGAGTGTTTTTCGTCTTTCGATTCATAGACATAAGGAATGTTCTCTTTTTTACGACAATGTAATTTGGCAGAATACTCACGAAATTTCAGTCACCATTCTCTCTAAAGAAGATACCCACCATCAACCACTTATATATCCTTTCTCCCTCATTCTTCATTAACTAGAATTTAAGTTTGCATTTCTTCACTTTCCAGTTATCATCAACCTATATATATAATTACTGAGTTTGATCAAAAGTTTGGTAATTATTCTCACACGGGTCCTTCACGCATATACAAATGTTTTAATTCTTTCATCTTCATTTTTACAATTATCATCATAATCAATCAATCAATCAAACAATATATAAATGTGTCTTTTCATTTCCTCTCACTAATGTAGAAAGTGAAACCTAATTTTAAAACTTTTTGTAGCCATTCTCACACGGTACTCCTTCACAGATCCAACTGGTGTTAATTATTTCATCTTCATTTTCATTATCATCATCATCAATCAAACTAAATATAAATTTCTCTTTTCATTTTTTCTCAGTAATGTGGAAATTGAAACTCAACTTTCCATCTTCTTCATCATTTAATCTAATAATCACTATTTTAGTTTTCCTTGCCACATTTGTTGGTCCTTACATATGATTTCTCTTGAATATTTAAACTTGTGTTTTAATTTTTTTTTTCAACTGTCACAATAGGGAAAGTAAAACCCACTCTTCATCTCCTTCATTAACTCTAATATTTACTATTAGTAATAAAAGTATTTCTTGCAACTGATGAGTGTCAAAATTACATGATTATGAGCATTACTTTTAGTTCTATTTCTATTGTAATATAATTGAATTTATGCTAGAATTATATACTTCTAAGTTACTTTTATACTTTCCTCCGACTAGGGCTTAATTAGAAAATAATAAAAAATTGGGGCAAAATTTTGAAAAAGGCAAAGCTTCTTGGATGGGACTGAAGTGCAATTTCAAGGCAACGCAAGACCAAAGCAACTGAGGAAACCGATTCCAAAAGGCAACTTTGAGAACATTTTCTTGACCTGAAACTTCACCAAAAAGAGGCAAACCTTAGAGGCCAAAGAAGAGCCAACCTACGTGGCCATCTTGGTCCCAAATAGTGAATAATCAAGCAGCAGATATAGTGCCCCTGATAACCTGTGCATGTGGCTGAATCTCAATTTTGATCAAGGAAGATTCCCGCTCTATGAAAGGGAATGCTTGAGACCATTTTAAAGGAGGCGGAAGTAGAGCATATAATAGGATAGAAAGATTAGAGTTTGGTTGAATAGAGAGAGAGAGAGAGAGGCTCTGCAGCAGAGTCTATCGGATAGTTCATCAGAGACATACGCTCAAGGGAGTGATATCACGACTCGCCTGAGTGATCTGCTATTCTACAAAAGCTTGTATCTTTATGACTCGCCTGAGTGATCTGCTATTCTACAAAAGCTTGTATCTTTATATCTCTATTGTATTCTCATTGCCTTGTAATCATGTTTTATGCTTAGTTTTATATGGATTTTATGTTTGAGATATTGATTATAAGTAGTTAGATTATTTACCGGGGTTGAATCCTATTTTCTATGTGAAGATACTTTAAGTTCACATTCGAACGATATTAGTGTGCCCTATTTTAATGATTGAATTAACCTTGTATGTAGTCTAATCATCTAGACACTTGTGCTTGCATATTATGTGAATCATGACTAGGTTATTCATTATTTAAAACGAATAAATTGACCGGTGACTTAGAGGTAACACAGTAAGGTTCCAGGTAGGATTGGAAGATACCTAATTGGCATGGGCAATAAACTTAAGTTTTTAATGGTTTGAATGGATTTAAACATTTTACTCAGAAGAGAATTTGTGAATCACTGGAAAAATTTCTTAAGAACATCGACAGAGACTTGCTCGTTGATTGAACATACTTTGTACCACGTGGATGCATAATCGCTATAGAAGTAACATGTAAAAGGAAGAGGATCCCCAAAATCTTTTCACTCATCGTAATCCAATCTTACTTGCTAACTTGTTGCCTTTCCTTCCCAATTTGCTTGTCTGCTCTGTTTTACATTCTCCTATCTGATGGCCTGTCAATCCAGACTGTCACTCACATGAGTGGTGAAGCCACTCGCTGAGTTGTTGTCTTCTCCATCGTCTCCATGTTAACGTAGGTTGCCACTTGCATGAGTATTGACACCACTCACGTGAGTGTTCATCTTTTCTTTTGTTTTTCTCTGTACAGTAGTTTAGTTGTTATGATTTAGGCGATTCTTAGATTGTTTGTCTGTCCTTGTGAACCGATCCAACTTACCGCTATCTAATAGTATACGGTTATAAATTTTTTTTTTGGCCTCTGTGACGACCTCATGACACCAGCTACTCTTGATTTACTTTCTTTATTTTGTCTATCCATGCTTCAGGAAAAATCCTCCCCCAAGTAATATATAGTCATTACAACTTTTCAGTTTAAAGAACTCCCCCTCTCTCTCACACACACAGACACACACAAACAAATACACGCACACACACATTGCTTGCTTCTTGTTTTCATCTTCTTTTGTTTATGGCAGAAAATCAAATCTTGCTAAGCATATAACCATAAGCCATGAATGAAGTTGAGTTTTTTTATAAAAAAAAAAAAAAATCTGAATAGCAAAAAAAGATGTGTGTTTTGGAGAAAATTTGAAAGTATCTATGTTACATAGATAGTGTAAATACCTACAACAGTTAAAAGTTGGCCCGGTATGTTTTTATAGAAACAAATGATTTTTTCCCCTTTCATAATTGTATGGTTACTTATACACCAAAATTCTTTCGTAGAAGAGAATTATCTTTATTTCTTTCTTGCCTTTCATTAATATTTCTTTTTTTTAATGGTACTCAAAATGCTTTGAAGTTGAAATACTAATTATTCTTGTAAAACAGAATTGCGTAGGTGTAATTAGATTAATATCTTTAAGATGTGTATTTTTTCTTTTACAAGTGATAATATAAATGTTAAAAAAATAGTTGAAAATATTGTTTTTTGTTTCTTATTTTTACTGATATTTGTCTTTTTTTTTACAGTTTCTTAAATAGAATACCAATCAACTACGCTGTCTTTTATTAAGAGTTTTGTTATCCTTTAGTTTGGATTATAGCTCTCATGTTATTAGGTACGAATTTGCTACTTTCAAAAGTTTCTTTTCTTTTGTTTTGGGATGAGGGGAGAGGAGAGATTGGGTCATCCTCATACGAAGAAAAGTCGAAATGAAAACAAAACATGAGTTTAAGAATTAATATGTTATGTTCTGATAAATATAGAATTTTCTACCAAATAAAATCAATTTTAGTTTTCGCGTTACGGTAACTAGAATGTTATTAAACTTTGGGGTTCACACTCGAACCACGAGATTTCACATCAACGGAAATCAATGATGTTACAGGTAGTTAGTGAACGTCTGAAGTAATCCATCTGAAAACTTTTTTCCTCTCTCTAGAGGTCTCTCTCTCTCTTTGAGAGATTCTTTATCCTCATCTTCTTCCTGTTCTTTTTCCGGTGAGTTCATTCTTGTCACAGTTTCCATAATCGTCATCAATCTCTGCTTTCATCTTTTCGTTTGTTGAAACCTATGATGGTACGATAGCTTTATGTCGTCATCTAATAAACATCATGATTAGTTTCTTTTCTCCGTAACTTCTATCAAGGCACCTTTATGGTCCCCGATATACTATTATCCACTTCTTTGGTTTTTTGTTTCTGTAAATCACGTTTTATAGACTCCATATTAGTTAAAAATTCCTTTACTAGCTCCAGACAATTTTTAATTGCTTTAGACCTCTAGAGTTTAGACAAGGATCTAGGGAGGAATCTAATCATTACAACGGTTTTCTGTTTGGTCTTCTTTTGCTTTCTGATGTTTGTATAGGCGGTGGTCTCTTTCTATACCCACACGCTTTTGTAGTCCCAAGAATCCTTCTGCTCTTTAGAAATTTATGTGGATTCCCACCTGAATCCTGGTTTTTTATCACGGCTCTATATAATACCCTCCAGATCCTTTCTTCTGCTCCAACGAAACACAATTCCTCACATCGAATTTTCCCCCCACACCCCACCTCAAATTAGTGAGAAGATGGAGTACCTTTACTCTGATAATTCGCTCAAATCTTCACCTGAGAATGCCCACACTTCCAACAATCCCAACTGGCCATCCTCTGAAAGTGTTTCTTGGAATAGAAACCAACGTGCACAGCACATCTATCGTTCACGCAGAAGGGGTCTTTGATATCGGCGAGAATTTGAAGAAATCCACGCTTCCATCAATCAGCATCATAACTATTCACTAGGCTATTTCTTTGACGATCAGAATTACAGCTGGGAGAAAATGCAGGCATATGTCTGCAACAACTGGGATGGCCATGCCATTGTTCTACACAAAGTTAAAAATTTCTTCATTTTCAAGTTTAGGTCCGGGGAGTTGCTCAAAATGATCCTCTACAATAGTTCTTTCACGGTTGATGGTGGTCTTCTGGCTCTTAGTAGATGGTATCCAAGTATGCCGCTGGAACAGATGACAATCGAAAGAATCTCCATGGGCATCAGACTTTATGGCCTTCTTGTTGAATGTCACAGTAAGACTACTGCACCAAACATGGCTTCCATGATTGGAGAGCTGCTATTGGTTCGGACAAGTGAATTAGATGCTCGTAAGGCGACCTATCTTAGGGAGAGAGTCGCTGTTAAACCATATGACCCACTGCCTTTTGGATTCTACCTTGATTTATGGAGCGGAATTAGTATTTGGATTAAGTGTAGCTATGATCGGCTCCATAAATACTGTCAAAGATGTGGCCTGATTGGCCACTTCTTAGATAACTGCAGCATTGATCGGAATGATGAGCTAGAGCAGTTCCTGGATGCGAGTTTTGGTCACTACATCGTGGAAAAGAATTTTCATTTTGGTCAGGATGATCATAACTGTTTGTTCCCACCATGTATGCGCATGACTGATGGCGAGCTAAACAAGAAGAATACTCGATTGTCATCGGACTACATCAGCAATCACTTTTATGTTTTCCAGGGAATGCAGGAGGAGGACATCATGGATGGTTTTACCTACTCTACACTGGCAGAGTCGTCTGATTTAAGCCCAGTCTTGCCGCCGATTGATAGGGAATTGTTAAGAAATCGGAGAAGGTACGTTATGTTTCAAGTGGAACATAAGTTTTTCCTACTACTGACGATATGCAGGTTGACTCCCCGACGCAACCGGCTCATCAACTGCCAGACCTTTTCGGTGGTTTTGGCCGGCGTAATGGAAAACTGGAGCACGGGCCAAGTCATCGCCTCTCCACACCGTGGGGCCCAGCTGGCAGTTTACAGTCCAATCTCATCCGTAACTGAAATGTTAGAGAAAGGGCCCACCTTTCAGAAACAAGAGTGTGGAAAGACACCCAAGTAATGCAACCATTAGTTCACGAACTTTGAGGAGAGACTTTTCAAATTCACAACCGGCTACTTGCAAGTCAAGTCAGTCGCAGCCACCTTGATCCTTCTGGAAGCAGATTGAGAAACAACAGTTCTTTTTACAGCGGAACGTCAGGTCAGATTCTGGGCCAATATCTTTCCTCGCGGTTGCGGTGGGCTAGTCCAATTCACCATCGTCGTAGTCCAGGCCCAACCCATCAATTCCTTTCAGCAGAGGAGGTGATGGACTAACTGGTTCCTCAACGACAGGGCCAAGATCCCAGCGGCTTCCGGGGCCTAGATAGAAATTGTTTGGGCCAAAGCCCAGTTCTGCAATAATGGTCCATTGGTGATCTGCCAAGTTTAAGTTGGCTCGCCCCATCACAGCCACACCCACTGCCAGCCCAATTTGGCAAAACCCATATCTCCATGTCCCAGAATCCTCTTACCGGCCCTTCTTCAGTATTACCGCTTGGGCGATCGACTCAGTTTTCTCCGGCTACCTGTCCTTTCTCATCTACTCCGTCTTAATTCAACAATTCTGCTAGATTCTTCTGAGAGGGAGCATCTTAGTCGTTTATTAGACATGGATATCGAAAGGCTTCAAGAAAGTCGACTTGGAAAGCGATCGTTGGTTGAAGCTGAAACACATGGCATCTCAAAGAAACAGAAGAGAGGAAGCCACACTTGCAGCTTCTCTTCGTCAATGTGGTCCACTTACTATTAGAGATTCGACACTCAGAGCCTCAGGCGACTAACCTCATGTGGGTCAAGAGCGACGACTGCCATCTCTGTCAAATCGACTTCGGCCAAAGGGTTAAAAGGTTTGATTTCTAGGAAGCGTGCTTTATCTGTGGTATTGATAATTTTGATGATTCAGATTGTAGTGTTGGGAATTCCCTGAAGCGTTCAAAGGCAGATCCCAGTTCAAATTTTCTCACTGGAAGGTTCGGTCGAGAGGTTGATCAATTAATTGATTGCTTGGGTCAAGCGGTGGCAGAGCATGCGCGTCAGTTGGCGAATCATCCAAATGCATATCTAGTTTCTAATTTTGTTACTGTCAACTCTTCTGATAATTCTTTTGATGGTCTTGCGGTGGTTGAACCAAATCAACCACCCTAGGAACCATGAGAGTACTTTCGTTGAACTGCAGGGGCTTTAATCGGCTACTTGCTAGCAATTTATTAGGAATCTGCTTAGTAAATATAGTCCTGATGTTTTGTTTATGTAGGAGTCGAAAGTTTCTCATATTATATTAGATAGGTGGGTAGAAGGTACTTGTTTCGGTAATTTGGTTGTAGTAGATGCTAATCACTCTACGGGTGGTCTGGCTCTCTTTTGGGTAGGTAATTTGAATATTGAGGTGCTGCATAAATCTCCTCATGTAATAGCAACTAAGATCAATGAAGCCTCGACTGATCAATGGGGCTGCCTTTTTGTTTTTGGTCACCCGGAGCAGGCTAGTCGTCGGATCGTTTGAAATGAAATTGAAATGGTAACTTCCCTGTATTCTTTGCCTTGGGCTCTTGGGGGATTTGAACCAAGTTCTTGAACCAACTAATAAACGGGGAGGGTTGCCGATTAAGGAAAGTCACAATCAGTTGTTTAGAGACCTCCTCCTCAACCTAGACATGGTAGAAATTCCTTTCCGTGAAAACAAGTTCACTTGGATGAATAACAGAAAAGTCTGAGATCGAGCGCCTCGACTGGGCTTTTGCTTCACAGACATGGCTCTCGAGGTTTCCTCGTAGTCTGGTCACAAATTTGCCGATTCCAGTTTCCAACCACAGACTTTTTGTCTTGGAAACCCTAAAGCTTCCAGCATGGTCCCGCAAGAAATCACTAAAATTTGAATCTTTCTGGAGTAGGTCTTTGGTGGCTCAGGACATAATTGACAAAGTCTGGCATCATCAGGACCTTAATGGACATGACGTCACTCCGGGGGTTCTCTTGACTAAGTTAGAAGCTACTCTGAAGCATCTTTCAGATTGGAGTCGGCATTCTTTTGGGACTCTAAATGGGCGAATTCAGAAATGCTCCGACAGATTACAGCAACTGCAACAACATGACGGCCTTCTTCACCACTCTGATGAGATTGCAGCAATAAGTAAAGAGCTTGATCACTTGCTTAACTACTAGAATAATTATTGGGCCCAACGAGCGAAGACAAAATAGAATTTTGAGGGTGACCGAAACTCTAGATTCTTTCACTCATGGGCGACTAGGAGAAAACAAGGAAACTGGATTGGAGGCCTCCTAGCGGAAGATGGCTCGTGGTGTCAAGACCAAAATCGGATTTATCAAATGATTGTAGAGCATTTTCAAACCCCCCTCGTGGAATAAGAAGATTCCTTTTGGGGTGATTGGTTGACCTCACATTCCCCAGTGATCGACTTGATTGACGAAGTAGTTTCGGATGCTCAACGGGATTGTTTGGCTATGCCTTTTTCAGTAGATGAAGTTGAGCACGCACTCCGAGATATGGCCCCCTGGAAGGCCCCAGGTCCAGACGGTATCCCAACTGGTTTCTTTCAAAAATTCTGGGGCACGACCTATTCTGACGTGAATGAATGCTTCCTTAGTATTTGAAATCAACAGGTTTGAGAAAATAGCTAGATATCATACGAAAGTGATTTTCTCCCCAAAAATAGGTAACCCTAAACGCCCTTCAGATTTTTGTCCTATCAGTCTGTGCAATGTTAAATATAAATTGGTAGCAAAAGCACTTGCGAATAGGTTAAAACTTTTGTTGCCGAATTTGATTACTGAGGGGTAAAATGGCTTTGTTCCAGGACATTATATTGGGGAAAATATTTTGCTGGCTCATAAAGCTATAGTTTTCATCCGGAAGAAGAAGCAGGGCAGATGAGGAATTGCAGCACTTAAGATTGACATGAGAAAGGCTTATGATCATGTGTCCTGGTCTTTCTTAAGTCAGGTAATGAAAAAAATGGGCTTTCCTTCCTCGTTTGTTAGTCTCGTTATCAAATGTGTATCCGCAGTGACCTTTTTGGTCTGTGTGAATGAGAGCCAATCAGACTTTTTTGCTCCGAAAAGAGGACTTCGGCAGCGTTGCCTGATCTCTCCGTATTTGTTTATTATTTGTCAGCATGCTCTTTCTCTATCCCTACAAAACCTGGACAAAAGCCCCAAAAGCTTTGGGATCCGATTGAGTAGATATGCTCCAGCTCTGTCACACTTGATGTAAGCTGATGATTGTTTTATCTTTATGGTAGCATCGAGAAGGAATGTCAAAGCTTTGGGCGAACTTCTCACTCAGTATACTCGAGTGTCCGGTCAAAGAATAAATTTCAACAAGTCATCTGTCTTGGTTAGTCCAAATACCCAACGTCCGTTTAGGGAATGGTTTTCTTCATGGCTTCAGCTGCCAACTTGTAATCGACAGCAGAAGTACCTTGGATTGTTGTTGGATTTTAAGCAGAAGAAGACTACACTGTTTGGTGAGATTTTTCAAAGAATGAAGAAGAAGCTCATCAGTTGGAAAACAAAATCCCTATCAATGATGGGACGAGTTACTTTAGCCAAGCATTCCTTGGCCATGCTGCCTGTTTACATGATGGGAGTCTTCAAACTTCTGCGGTCGACTACCAAATATGGAATGCGGACAAAGAAGTTCGCAACATTCATTGGAGATCGTGGGACTTCATGTGTCGCTCGATGTTTCAAGGAGTATTAGGTTTCTAATCTGCTGCGGAAATGAATCATGCATTATTGGCCAAGCTGGCATGGGATTCTTAATAATAAGGAGTCGCTTTTTGCAAGGATCTTTTTGGCAAAATACGCCAGAGGAAAGGATATAATGGATTGTCCCACCCCTAAGTCTACATCTTGGGCATAACATACTATGGGGTCGTGATCTTTTAAAGTCTGGGTTTAAATGGCAAGTGGGATCTGGTGAGGATATCTTGTTTCATGACAACTGGATCCCGGGTATTCTAACCCTTTGAGTCACCAATCCCCACAAAATAATGATCGATCATTGATCCGAGTTAAGGATCTGTGGGACCAGAACAGGCAATTGCAGGAACCTCTTGTACGCCAAATTTTTTCGCCAGAGGCTGCGAGGAATATTCTTTCAATGTACATCCCAGCTTCACAAGGATCGACTAGAGATTACCGGTATTGGTCGAAGAACGTCAATGGCATATACACGGTCAAATCTGGGTACCATGAGGCCCCGCGTCTTAATTCTGTCACTCAAGTTTCCAACCTCTTTAGTTCTAGGAATTACATGAGTCCGGCAGCATGGAAAATCTTCTGGTCAATCAAATTCCCTGCAAAAATTAATTGGCTTTTATGGCAAATGGTTAGTCATGCCCTTCCCTCGGCACTGGCGCTCAATAAACAGGGTGCGCATCTACCACCTGGATGTTTGAGATGTGGTGGTACTGCTGAAAGCGCCCAACACATCTTTCTGGACTGCGATCACTCAAGGAGAATCTGGAAAAGCTCTCCTTTAGGCTTTGATTTTGCAAATGTTGCCCCTGTCCCTCTAGAGGAATGGTTGCAGAACTGGTAACTAACCGCACCAGATAAGAAAGTCATTCAAAAATCCTTCTTCCTCCTTTGGCACATTTGGATTTCGAGAAGCAATGGGGTCTGGAACAATCTCTTTCAGGATCCTGTTCAGGTCCATAAGTTGGCATTTATCGAATGGGACACTTACAATCAAACTTCATCTAGACGTCTGGATATGACACATCAGATTACCGGAATGACGGTAATCTCTCGAGAACCAAATCCAAGTTCATTTGTTGACTTGATGCAGGGGCAATTCTACATTCGTACTGATGGAGCTTTCCTTGAGGTGCACGATCGAGCTGCAGGCGCATGTGATATTGTTACAAATCAAGGTCGATTTATTACATCAGGGTCAGCTTCATTTTACGCCCTCTCTACTGAAGATGCAGAGGGTCGAGCTTGTTTGGGAGAACTTTTTGCTGCCCAACAACTAGGATTAACAGATTGCCAGGTGCAAGTGGACTATAAAAATTTAATTGACTATGTTGATGAGAATAAATTTTGTCCGATAACAATCTCTTCTCTAGTTTCAGAAATTAGGAGTCTGATAGATCAATTTGCCTCTTGTAATATTGTTAAAGTACCTAGGGACATAGTGGAAGGCCCGCACAGGATAACAAAGTCGTGCCTCCATCTCCGTGATCCTTTGTAAGTTTCCTTTTTAATGAAAGTTGGTTTTCAAAAAAAAATAATAAAAAAAAAATAGAATGTTATTTGTACTTTGCTTAATTATTTTCGTATCTTTTCTTGTTTTGGAATATTTTTTTGTCCAAGTGATGATATTATTAAAATTTTGTCCATTTAAGTTTTATTTAATAGTAAAACACTAACTTGAAACTTGTCTGTCTTTTGTGTGGTTAGAAAAGGTTTGTAAAGAAGATTGTTATAGTTGAAAGGGTAACAGATATGAGAACATCTCATCTATCTTTCGTTTGTTTGGTTAGAAAAGGATTGCAACAAATATATATTTTAATAATTAAATTGATAAAAAGATAACATAAAAGTTAGAATATTTTTACAATTATATTAGTGGTAGTGATAAACCCATAATTGAACGGGAATGATGTGGTTGAATTTTAACTATTCCCTAACCCTTAAATAGATAAACTTGCAATTAAAGGTAAGTTTTAACTATAAACAGTTATGATTTATTCGCTGTATATTTGTTTTGTAAATTTTTCCACTGCAACAATCATTATTCCTTATGAATTTAATATTATTTAACAATGGCAAACAAAGTAAGAACGTGTTTCTCTTTTGTGTGGTTTAGAAATTAGGTAATAAAGATTTTTTTTTTTTTGGTTACAAGTAAGTAAGATTGTGTGAATTAAATCAAAAACAGATGTAACATTGCTCGTAAATCTTAACATTTTATTATTAATGTTTCTGCCAAAAAAATGTATTACTTCCGTCCCGAAAAAATTCTCTAATTTGAAAAAATAAAATATCAAAAATAAATGACCAGGTCTTGCAAATTAAAAAATTAGTATAAAAAATTGAATAAAATTTTCATGTTGATCAATTTTTAATCAATTCTAGGTTACACCGAACTCATAAGTCTAATTTTAAAATTTATGTTTCTAAAATTGAATTATATTTTTGGGACAAGAATAGTAATACCTATAACTTATGGAACGGATTGTAATTAATTCTACAATGAAGTTAATTGCAAAGATCACCCACAAGATTTTAACCAAATTATAAATTCTTCTTTAAAATTTGAGAAATTATTATTACCTCCCTTGCTTGGTGGCTATTCTATCCAATCATTATTGAATACGGCTAAATAAGAATTGACATTGGGGCCATTAATGAATTAATATTGTTCTTTTTGTAATAAAAAATTATTGAGAGGTTGATATAATGCATCAGTAATATACATACAAATTGTTTTTGATGATCATTTACTTCTTTTTTTTTTCTTTGGAAATATATTCATGCATTGATGATCATGTAAATTTTCATAAACATAGAGGATAGATTGTAAATTTCTTCAAAGCAAACACGAGAGGATGCGGTAACCGTGTAATTATCCTGATTAGTGAAAAAGGAATTAATTACATTGAGGGATAGTTTAGGGGCATTTTGCAATTTAAACTCAAGTTCACGTATGCCGTCGTTCTTTTCTTCCAAGACCTGGAAATCTGAGTGCTCTGGCCCACTGGTAGAACCCAAAACAGAGTCGCCTATGGAGAGTGCCTCTTCTTTCGTCTTCCTCTCCTCCAAGACTCCAACTCTTATTAGTCGTTCATCCATTTCTTCAAACTTTTTTTAGCTTTATTCAAACCCTTTCGAACTATTCCTAAGAAGCTCGAAAATCCGTTTTAAAAAGAAGTTCTTTATACGCTTGTTTTTATTTTTATATAAATTTAATCTGATTGGTGTTGATGGATTATTGGTGAATTAGTTGGTCATTTCTCTGTTGTAGTGGATCAAAAAGATTCTTTGATTATTTTCATTTTTCTATTATTGATTAGATTATAGCTATGTCATCCATCAAATCATCATACTCGATCCCAACAGAGTGCAAGCACCTCCAAAATTACAAGCTGAAACATGGCCTTAAGGGCTACAATTTGATTCGGGATTCTGTCAAAATCGATTCTTTTGGTAAATCAGTGATTGATAAGTCTAAATTACAAGTGCCCAGATGCAGTTTTTGCTCTGGTTGCCAGGGTAGACTCTTTCTGTGTCTGATCTGTTCTTCGATGTCATGTTCATTGTCTCCTGAATCAAATCACACCCTTTTGCATTCTCAGTCTTTCAGTGGGCACGAGATTTATGTGGAATTGGAGATGGCTGAGCTATATTGTATGGTGTGTTCTGATCAAGTGTACGATCCTGATTTTGATAAGGCTGTAGTGTCTAAACAGGCCGTGGGATTAGGATTGTCCAGGAGGAATGAAGATGGTGAACTTAGGTTAAGTAAGAGGAAAAGATTGAATTTTGGTTTGGATTTGGAGTTGAAGAGTATCAAAAGGTTCATTTCTTTGAGGGATCAGTATTCTAAATCATGTATTCCGTTGGGTTTGAGGGGTTTGAACAATTTGGGGAACACATGTTTTATGAATTCTGTTTTGCAAGCATTGCTTCATGCTCCACCTTTGAGGAATTACTTCCTTAGTGATAGGCATAATCGAGCAATGTGCAGGAAAAGATCTTCGGATCGTCGTTTGTGTTTACCTTGCGACGTTGATGTTATTTTCTCAGCTGTTTTTTCTGGTGATCGGACACCATATAGTCCAGCTCAATTTCTTTACAGGTTTGCTTTGTATTTATCTCCTATCTACTTAAGTCTTAGTTCCCAAATTGTTTCCTTAATTACTTGCAGATCGATAACATGTGAATTTGGGGCCACATTGGGCTGTAACATTCTGTTTTTTGAGATCCCAACCTACTTTACGCACCTACTCGACTGCATTCTATTTGTGTTCAATTTGTGTTGGACATTGCGTAGCAACTGTGAAATATTTGAGGCCCCTAATCCATTTTGATATATTATATCCTTTGATCTGGTTGAGGATACAAATCTTGTTTGTGGATTCTGTATTCCATTTTTTCTTACGAAGTCTAGGGGGCTCTTTTGTTTGATATAACAATGCTGTTAAATTTTGTATTATTGTGATACAAAGCAGGGAATGTTTGACAATCTGAAAACTTCATGTCATTGTTTTATATTTTCCCCTGTAATGCTCAATTACGAAATTTGTTGTACTTGCTTCTCCTCGCTGCATACATATTGGCATTAGTATGTCAGTCAGATGAAGTATTGAATATAAAGGTGGTGGTTGACTGCAGTTGGTGGCAGCATTCAGAAAACCTTGCTAATTACGAGCAGCATGATGCCCACGAATTTTTTATCTCTATGTTGGATAGGATCCATGAGACGGAGGGCAAGGCAGGCCATGTTATTAGAGGTAAAGAAATGGCAATGTTTGGTTTTTCTGCTTTTTAATTACGGAACATGACTCCACTGTTGGTAGTGAGAATGTATTGTGCCAACACCGTCGATATCTGCTCCAGCCTATATGCGTTTATCAGGCGGCTTAACTCTGTAAAAGTTGGCATGTTAGGGGTATACATTTTTGTTATAAGTGCTAACTGCTTACAAAAGTGTGTCCTTAATTATATTGCCTGCTGCTGAACATCAATGACCTCGAACAACTTGACGAGGGGAGAAGGATTAACTTAAAAATTTTTGTTTCCTGAAACTGATTATAAGCGTTTCTGTTAAACAGATAATGGGGATTGCCCTTGTATTATCCATAGAGCTTTTTCAGGCCTGCTGAGATCTGATGTGACCTGTACATCATGTGGGTTCACTTCCTCAACTTACGATCCATGTGTGGATATTTCTCTGGATTTAGATACAAGCACTTCAGGTAGAGATCCTGGTAAGCTAAGTAAGCTGAATGAGAGCATAGGTACATCGACTCTTGTAGGCTGCTTGGACCTCTTTACGAGACCTGAGAAGCTGGGATCATGCCAGAAATTGTACTGTGAAAATTGTCAAGAGAAACAGGACAGTTTGAAACAACTGTCCATAAAAAAGCTACCTGTAGTATTATGTTTGCACATAAAACGTTTTGCGCATTCCCCAGTTAAAAAGTTGTCCAGAAAAATTGATGCTCATTTGGAGTTTCCTTTCTCCTTAGATATGAAACCATATTTGTCATCTTCAATTGTCCGAAGAAGACTTGGAAACAGAATGTTTGCATTCCAGGATGATGACATAGATATTAACACAGAATTTGAGGTTTTTGCTGTGGTAACTCATTCAGGGATGTTAGAATCTGGTCATTATGTTACCTATCTGCGCTTGCAGAACCAATGGTTTAAGTGTGATGATGCTTGGATTACTAAAGTTAATGAAGAGGTAGTTAGAGCATCACAGTGCTATCTAGTTTATTATGTGCAAAAAGTGCTATACCACAAAGGAAGTGAGGACGTGAGTTGCCAGCCACTGTCATCCCATGCTGATGCATTTGTTCCCATTGCTGGTTGTTGCTAGATAGCCTGATATAACATTTCAGTTCACTTCTGAGAGACGCATAATTTTGCAAGATGTTTATTTCTGCTGAACGAGGCTTTGCACTGCTGAGTGGGTTCAGGAGTAATAGGGCTGGCCGGTACCAGCCTCAACCATTTGTTAGGGCAATGATTCTTTTATTGTGGCTTCAGCCTGGGATGCGATGGTGTCAAAGAAGCAAAAAATTCATGTTTTGTTTCAACTTTCTTTCTTCCCTCTGTTGCAGGGGGACCATTTGGTGTTTAGTAGTAGGACATGAGGCTTGTAATTCATTTCTCTTAAATTTTTTTCGTTCAATGTACAGATTTATTTCTTTTACAATTGCCTGAAAATGTTGATAAATACTTGTTCCTACTGGTATAGATTGTCTGCTGTTTTGGTTTCCAACAGTTTCACAGTCATACACCCAATAAGTAATGTCACGACGAACTTTTTGTACAAGCGTAGTCGGTAGATACAATCTCTAATCTGTTATAAAAATAATCCAGACAAATCAACCCAAAATTTAGGAGGATCTGTCCTAGAAAAGAGGTAGATATTGGTATAACAAGCTCTCAGATGCTGTGTCCTGCTGCAAAAATCAAACCTCTCCAAAGTTCTTGTGAGATGGCTTGGTTCGTCGAATGAAAGTAAGGGCATTCATGTACAAGCACCTCGAGTTCCTCGCTCTGGCCTAAGCAAAGAGCATTCTCCTGTGCTCCAGAAATGCATACCAGAACTCATAGAGAACAAGGACTTTGCCATGTAGATATGTCGCTGATAAGAAATCGCAGCTGACCAATAAGAATTTTGAGATGCTCGTTTCTTTCTGCAAGCCTCTGGAAATTCCAAAGAAATAATCACAGGTTTTGATCAATAACCACAATCACAGAAACATTGCGGAAATGCATCATCCTGGGAGAGGAATAAAAACAAGGAATACAAATGCCAGATCCTGACTTTAAACAAGATATAAGTATAACCAAGACGAAACACTATAACAATACTAGCTTTTTCTTGTTTCCATCTGGCCCAAATCAGCTAAACTAGCTACAGGTAGAAAGTGAACAGAGAAGTTCAGAAAAGGCTTATTTGACAGACCCCTAATCAATTGAAACGTCAATAACAGCAAAGGAAACCAGACATTAAGTATAGGTAGAAATACCTTTCTCAAAGCCAAGGCTTGCTCTTCCAGCTTCTCTATTTCACCTTGGTCATCAGGAGAACAGGATCTAGTAATTGAAACCAATTCAGAAGCTTCAACCTGTTACAAAACATTGCCAGAACCAATAAAATGTACACTTTAAGACACAGAATAGGAACATAAACAGAATCGTGCTGCACTAATCTTCCATGGAAGATCTGATCAAATAAACTGTAGCAAATAACATTGTGTTCCACTCAGCTATTCATATTTGATGAATGTGACAAAAGGTCCAGGTGATATCATATTATATTAGGCCATGTGTTTTTAAAACTTAATTCTTTTAAAATTGCGAGCAAAATGGGTTCTCCAACTGCCCAAGATCTGAATCGGATCGAAACCTCTTCTGAACAAGTTTCTAAAGAATTATCTAGCAAAGAATCCATATGGACGCCAGATCTAACCCTTAATTCATTTATGGTTGAAAAATAATACTGGTGTAGCATACAATCACTAGTGGAGTATACCATTATTCAAATACTACAATATTTTCATTTCTTTTTTAAATTCCGGAAAGCATCTGTACACGTATTTCTACAAGCAATGGATTAACAATTTCACAAGTTTAAGATTTCCAAGGTAAACATAACAGCTGCTTGCCAAAAGAAAAGAATATACAGAAAAAATACTCATCTCTGGTATCCAACTTTCACATTCCAGTTAAGGAATACAATCTTCCTAAACTCCAGCACTTCCGTTTTCATATTCCTAATCCATGCAATCTCGATAAGAGGAAGTACAAGAAAATCACTCATCTTGACTTCAATTTTCACATTGTTGTCAAAAGTTCACATGCTAAAATCTCACATCAGCATTCTCCTAATCTCAATAAGAGTTATGATACAACAACACAGAATAAAACTGACTGACTCACTTTAGGGATTGAATTGGTTAAATATTTATATTTCATTTTCAACAATCATATGGAGAACCATAAACTGAATGCCAGCATCAATCATTGATATTATCCGCAACAAACAGATAAACCAAAAACTGAGTTTGGAATGTAAATTATCAGTAAACTAAACTTTCTCATGAGTTTTCATCAAGTGTGTTGAAATGCAAACGGCACAAGGAATCAACATCACCTTCTGAGAATTAGAAATAGCAGAGAGGACTGTACGCAGGGCAGCAACGGCCGTTTTGTAACGGAAGCGAGCCTCCTCGAGCGCCCCACCAGCGTTTTCCAAGTGATGCGGCGGCGAAGAAGAACCCGACGAGATGCTATCCCCGTTGGAGAAGTGGTGCCCGTTACTCATACCATTAGTGGCGCCGCCGTTGATAACCGGACTGGCCAAAGTCGAAGCGGTTGAGTTCGGATTCGAATTGGTGACGGACCAGAGATTAGGGTTGCAGAGCTCATCGTTCATAGCGGAGAGAATCAGGAAAGCCGAATCAATTGTGTCTTCTAAATGCTTCTCACCATCTTTCGCTAACTCTTGGATCGTTTTGTTCAGAGCTGACGTTGAAACCCCAATTCCGGCACCGGAGATCCCACCGGTGTCCCCCATCCCTGAGTCCTGAATGTGCAGAGTTTTTCTTCTCGTTTTAGTCAACGTCCGTTTTGATTTTGAAAATGGTAGACAAAGACAACTGGTGCTGGAAGTAAAGCTGAAAAAAAAAAATCCCAACCTAAAGCCCAAACCCAAGCCCAAAGAAAACAGCCGAAAATTAAAGCAAACAGATTATTTTAAGATTTTCTTTTTGTAGGTAAAGTTGACTCTAAAACTGCCAGAAGAAGACTCGACTTGGATGAAAAAATTCAAGTTGCCAAACTCTTGAGAAGAAAACAAATTCCCAAAACAGTATATTCCGAAAATACCTATGTAAAATTGGAAACTTGAAAGTCCAGAAAATTCCTAGACATTGGTGAATATGTAAATGGGAAAGACTCCTCGCGTTTACAAATGCCAAAATTGCTATAGCTAAAGTTATAAATACCAATTCTTAATCCTTCCAAAAAAAAAAAAAAGTTAATTGAATTGTTGAAGAAGCTTGTGTCTAGTTAGGGGTTTTTTCTTTGAGTTTGTCAACTTTTTTGCTCGAAACTGTTCAACTTTTCCTCAGATGAGTGTGTGTTTATGAATTGTTCGTACTCCGGTCCTTATTATAGTTCATTTTGATTTGTTCTAAATATTATTTATTGAGTTTTTTATTTGAAAATAAAACTTTATTTCTGTCACTTATTATAAAATATTATATCTGTCCCAAAAAAATTGTTCACATTGAATTTAGAGATTTGAAGATGAAACATCAAATGTGTATTTTACAAATCTCCAAACTCAACCTCAAAATTGTATTATTTTTAATATAAATCTCAAAATTTAAAGTGGATTTATTTTATTTTTTTTTGAGATAGAGACAATATTTTCAAGGTTTTATTTTTAATTACAAAAAAAACAATAACAAAATTTAGAATAAATTGAAATATTTTATTATAAGGATGGAGAGAGTTGGAAACCAATCTTCTGAAATAATGGAGCTGGTTTGTGCATGAAAATTGTTGTAAGGGTGCTTGAGGAATGTCTTCACTGTTGCTGTTGAAAATCTTCTTAATTGGTTTTGTACCAAAAAAAAAAAAAAATTCCTCTTAAATAGTTGTAGCCTTTTTGTCTAAGTTCATAAATTAATTGACCGAAAAAAGTTGTTTCTTTCTTCAACCGTTTCGGACGGTTTCTTCAATTGATTCAGTCCTTCCATGTTGCTGATTCAAATAGATCTTTCAAAATTATCCACTACTTCCTCTTCGTCAGATTGTTTAATTTTTGTAAAATCTTGTTAATACGACAGAGACAAGACAACCATTTTAAGAACAAAGGGAGAGTATATATTTTCAATCTACCTCCGATTAATTAGATTAACCCCAACATTTTTCTATAACTCAAAAAATTTACAACTTCAATTATCTCATTACTGCTTCGCAATTTCTGTCTGGTGTCATTCAAACTAAGGTACAAACTACAAACTCCTATGTTTGGATCGTTTTTTCAGTGTGTATTTTTAGGTATTTTTTATATTGAGAATGTTAAAAAGTATGTTGGGATGAAACATTTAATATTTATTTATTTTGAAATTACTATGAAAAAAAAAAACAAACCAAACAATTAATTTCGCCGTGCTCAAGATCGATAATCATTTCTTCTTTCTTTCTTTCCTTCCTTTTTTTTTTCCTCCCACCAAAACTAGATGGAATTGTTGTATTTCCCCCCTAAAAGGTAAGGCCCTTTTTTTTTTTTTTGGGGGTTTGTTTTACTTAGATCCAGGGAATATTATGTTGATTATTAAAATTCTCATTTGTAGAATCAATGAGGAGAAGTTAGAAATATTACATTTTGGGTATCTTTTTACCGAGTAACACGAAATATATGTATGTTAGTCCTGGTTCCAATTTTTAATGCATTTTCTTTTATTAGTTTGACTGGGAGATGTCCAGTACAATCGAATTAATTCTGGTGTTCATAAGGTCAGTAGATTTTAGAAAGAAAAAAAAAATCATGAAAGAACAAAAAAAAAAAAAAGAACAGAACAGAAAAGAAAAGTTATGTAAGAGAAGGGAAGTTTTTATGCAGCAAGGTGATTTCTTGGATCATGTGCTCATATGTGAATCGTGGAAATCCAAGTTAGTAATCAATTTTAGTTTCTTGAACTCAAAATTCCAACTTTAGAAATTCATTTTTGTTTCATGCATTGACAAAAAGGACAGCGTAGAATCTACGTCGCATTCACTTGGGATTTACACTATACAGGCAGCCGTCCAACTCTGGTGGCAATTTCCGACACCAAAAAATGAGTCTTTTTATCTCAAAGTTTGGATCACACCATCCAAAACATTCTAAAGATTAAAAACATGTTATTTACATCCCAAATTTTTTAAAAACATGTTACATTAGAATATTCGTTAAATTTTTAACTCCAGATAATTAATTAGTGGTCGTACTTTATTCTGTTTCTCCTCCCCTAATTCTTTTAATCATTTAACACGTTCCACTAACTCGCATCTTATAAGAAAATAGCTAAACCTAATTTGGTCTTCACATCATCCATTCTTCCCTTGCTTAGAAAAAGAAAAAAAAATCAAAAATTCACCTTCTAGATTGATAACAATCATGAGGTTTTGTGTGTGTCCTAATTAGAAAGTAAGCCCTGTTTCATTTATTTTTTTAAATATGTAGCATCATTATAAAAATTGGTGTTGTAATTGATACAGGGGCATGCAACTGTTTTGCTTGGCATTGACCAAATTTACCAAACGCAAGTATGAAACTTTTTTGACTAAAAAAATGGGGGAAAAGAAACTGAATGAAATATCGCCGTTAATAACTTGAAAAAATTAACAAATGTCCTAATATTACATATTTTTAAAAAATTTGGGATGAAAATGGCATGTTTTTAAACTTTGAGATGTTTTAGATGGTGTGGCTCAAACGTTGGGATGGAAAGGCCCATTCTCCCTTCCCGATATAATAAACCAATTTACATATCTATTGAATACCATACAATTAACTCGTATTTTCTTGATTTTATTTCTTCTTACAATTGTTGTCTGATTAATCTTATAGAAACAGTATGGATTACATGACTCAAAATTGATTAAAGTGGAATAAACATAAGAGTTTGGTAGCCTTTTTCGGAGTATAATATATTAGGCAAAATCCCAAAAGATTAATTCCCGCCATTTTTAATTTTCTTCTTTGAAGCTTGAACTTGTAAATAAAACTTATGGATACAGTATAGGGTTGAATTTGAAAAACTATGGCGAAACTAGAAATGCAACCTGAAAGAGTATTTGAACATATATAGTCTGAAAGTACAAGAAATCAAGAACTACAGAATCATACTTACAAAAGTACTCCTTCATTGACAAAATTTTAAGTACAAGACACTGATTTTATTTTTCTTCTTCTATTCCTGAAACCCAAACATTTACAACTTAACAACTGCTCAGAAGGTAGCTAAAAATAGGGTAAGCTGGAAAAAGGATTATTTTATATTGACAACATATATGTAGCATGATATTTTACACGGTATTTCTCAAAAAAAAAAAAATGTTTCACTTAATTCACTCTATATTTACTGCTCTATCGTAATATTTATATTTGATCTTAACAAGAACACCAAAAAATCAAGGCCTCAAAACATTGCATAATTCGATGGACACATTAGCTTGGTTTACGATGTCAACCCTTAATTGTGGCTTTGGTTCTTCTTGTTCTGCTGCTGGAGATGATGAATGTGGGGCCAATTGTTGTTCTTCGATCCCTGCTGACACTGAAAACTGTTGATTTGGATGCATTGTTTGGCTACTAAAAATCAAGTCATTATTATTCGAACCCGTTGACCATACTAATCCTTCGGCATTATTAGTACTTCTCAAATCTTCACCTGGTAAAAGACCATGGTTGATGATGTTTGTTTGATGATTTTCCATAGTTTTGAAACTGATCAACTGATTATTATTATAATCAGTCTGCTTCCCAATCGATTCGAACCCAGAAAAACAAAACCCATTGCTAGCAAAATTTGTCTCTGGAGATTGGAAAAAAGCAGACCTATTGTGATGATCAATAAATTCAGTACCATATTCGTGAGAAAATGGAGTTGGAAACTGAGAGATACTCATGGGAGGAAGCATTGGAATCTCAATCTGAGGTTGATGATGTTGATGATGAGAAGATGAATAATTTTCAACCCCAAGATCATTAGGCATTGGTTTTTGGTTTAAGAAATTGGCGTAAACCAAAGCAAGATCAACTTGATTTGAACCAACCTGATGTTGTTGATGATGATGATCAACTGTTGTCAATGTGGAACAACCATTTGAAGGTGGAGATAATGTTTGGGTCTGCAAGCCAAAATTAGTGGCATCCAAAGCCGTTGTCGCAGTCGTCGTCCCACAACCACCACAGGGAAAACCCCTAGTAGAAGGGATGGTTATTGTTGTTGGGAGGACACCACGGAAGTTATGTTTAGTGGCTCCTCTTCGGGTCTTCCGACAACCGCCACCGATGGGGACATTTCGGAGGGAACCGCCTTTAGTCCAATACCTTCGACAACCTTTACAAAAATATCTAGGTTGTGTCAAGCTATAGTTGTTGTAATAACAAAATTTGGTGTTTGAGGAACCACATCGAGGGCAGGTTGGTGATATTTCAATGTGAGGTTTCCATCCTTTTTCCATGGATTTGGTGACATGCATAGGGTGAAAGAGGCCTGCTTTCCTCTTCACCCTATACATGGATTATTGATATAAATCCACAAGTGAAAGGGAAAAAAATGTATTTGTAGGTATATATATTTTTATATCTTTCAATCTTTCTTTCTCTGTCTCACTTGTTCACCATTTGAATTACATTTGATGAGAGAGCTCTGAAAGAAAGAAAAAGATATAGGGGAGAGAGAGAGAGAGGGATTTGGATTTGATTCAGTTTTCCTTTGTTATTGTTATGATGTGAAATGAATGAAATATAACACATGAGTTTATTTAAAAAAAAAAAAGAAAAGAAAAATATTGAGATCTTAATAATGATGATGATGAGGGATTCTTGCGAAACATGTGAAGAGTGAGAGGCCCTATATCTGCGGCTCTTGGGTAGAGCAAATAAAGTAATTAGGGGTCTTACTTAATTTTAGGAATCAATTTTGTTGGTCTTTTATATTTATCACAATCTTTAATTTTCTTGAACCAATTAAAAAAATTAAAAAGAAAATAAAAACCACAACCCTTGCATGCATTTTGTCATTACAATGTAGTTATGGCCTTACGGGAACTCTGTATCTTTCAAACTTCTATCTCAAAATGCCCCAAATTAAGTACCGCCTACCATTTACATTGACTTGAATCGGCTAATTAATACACTTCCTAAGTTAACTTTTCATAAAAGTCATAAATGAAACAAAACAAAACCATCGATTCAATCGATGTGTAAGTAAATGGAGTAAATTTTTTAAACTTTTTTTCTCAATATAAACGCTACGTACAATTTTTTTTTTATCCCTTAAACATTTTTAATATGGAGTACTTCTTGGTGTTTTTCTTCATCTATATAACCATATTCAATAACTTTTAGATATTAACTTAATAAAATGTGTTTGAAATGTCTACATAATCATTTTAACAAAAACAGTTAACTAACATCCTCTTATTCACTATGAAAGACACTCGTTTTTAAACTTATTTTTAGGTTTCTAATTAAAGACATAGCCGCCGTACCCTATATTACTACTACATTTGTTTCATTAAAGTAGTTCCTAAAACACTATAATAAACAAAGTAAAATATTTTTCCGTGGTGGAAGGAGTATCATGGCATTTTGGCCATGCACATGTGTGCCCCTGATGACATGGTTTACGGAAGCTAGCGTGAAGGGCGAATTGAAACAAGTTTGCTATATCGGAGGCTGATACGTTGTGTTGCTGTTTTGTACACTTTGGTGTTATGGGATTTGTTTAGATTGAGTGTGGTTTTGGAGGCAAATTTCTCGGTTGAGTCAAATCATCAGTTATCTTTTTACGGAAGAAATTACCTAATTAATTAATATGGTCATTATTTTAAGTGTATATCATCACTAGGTTTAGTTTTATTGAAGCTTCATGCATTTATTTGGTTGATATCTGAAAATGTGACTGAAGCTAATTGATGTGAAAATTCAAAGTTCAATAATGGCTGTTGAATTCTTTGGTGTTTTTGGGTTCTACATGGTAAAAGAACAGTTTTACCTCCGACCGGATTCGGGCTCTCACAGATTAATTCACGTTGTGCCCTAACCATTTAAACTATTTTTTATTTTTATTATGTATTCCTTCTGTTCCATAATTATTGTCTATTTTGAATTTTTATTTCTAATTTAAATTATATTAAAAGTAAAATATCAAATTTGATAATAATTTTGGGACAGAAGGAGTATTTTTTTCTGAAACCACAAACCACAATGGTTACTTGGCAGTTAATGCGTGAATTTGCCTGCTAGTGCATCAAATAACAAACTGTAGCATTTTTAAATCCTTTGGGCCAGGTGTGACCTAAATAATCCAAATACCACGAGGGAATTACAAGCTTGTGGAAAGTGGATCTGGTGAACGGAATCAGTCCCGAATTAGAAAAAGGAGAAAAATATTAATCTTTAAGTATGGAAATTGATTTGAACAATTATTCTTATACCTCGAAGAAAGTATAGAATATATGTTACAGCAGCCAAACGTAGGGGAATGCAGATCTCGGGTAGAGTTTAAGAAATATGAGAACGTTTGAGTCTTCAATGGATCATGCAAACTTTTAATTTCGAAAGTCGTGTCAAAGAGTTGGATTCATTGTCACTCTATCCAAGAGATAGAAAGTCAACGAGTCTCTCATTCCCTCCAAAATAAGGGGCAACTTTTTTTTAAAAAAAATAGAAAGGTAGAAATGCTTTTCAGGTTTCAACTGCCACAAAAATATTCAAGGGGTATACCCAGGAGATATATTTTGAGACAGTCAGTGCCACATAGCACAATACAGCTAAGGAATCTATCCAAGGAATGGACATACATGCTATCCAGTTCCTTAGTCGTGTCCCTGCCACATATTTTATTAATATAATAATTAGCAATGATTAAGACTTATCATATTTTAAAAACAGAGGCTAAATATTACAAGGCTTCAAACCCTAACTAGCAGAATCTAATTTACGCCTCCTAATATACAAAAAAGATTGTTGATCAAAGAGAATAAGACCTCGTATTTTAGGAGGGAGGCTCGTAAATACAGGATAGATTAAGGAGGTTCTTGAAGATGCAATTCTGGCCAGACTATCTGCAACCGAATTCGTCTGCATAAATACATGTATTATCTTGTAGCATCTCCTATGGATGATATGGAGAATTTCAAGCAACTCAAAGTGCATATTCCATGGAATCGGCCAGGGCGGACGCACATATAACCCAGCTGGGTCAATTGCCCTAGCTGGAATTTTTTTTTTGCTTGTTACCCCTTGATATTTTGTAATTTTTTTTGTAAACAAATTACTATTTGCCCCATCTAAATTGAAATTATTAAAAAGCAAGTATGTTAAATTAAGATTTTGAAAATTTTGCGACACCATATCTATGGGCCTAGCTCCGCCCTTGGAATCGGCCCTGAGTTTTTGACCATATTTGCAAGCAGAAAGCTATCAGTCTGTACTTCGACTTCATGCAAGTTCAAAATATATATCACATCTTCTTAGGCCAGAGCAAACCACTTACCTCTACCATAAAACTATCGTCTCCCCCAAGATAACTAGCCTCTCCATAACGAAAAACTCCATGCTCCCCTCTAATAATAAAACCGTATCCAGCTTCGGAAGCGCCCTGAATGGATGAACCATCCACATTGAGTACAAAGGCTCCACTGGCCGGTTGCATCCACTCAACCCTTATATATTGTGGCTGCTTGGCCATCGTGAGATTCACATGGAAAATTCCTTCAAGCTTCTCCTTGTCCAGTACATTCCTCGCTTTAATTCCATGCACCACTAGCATAGATTTCAGATGATCAAAGACTTCACGACTTACATGCTGAAGAGGAATTAAAGTATCATCAAAGAAGGCCTTATTCCGCCGCTTCCATAACTCCCATAAGATGAATAGAGGTACTGCCAATTTCGCAGCTCCCTTAGCCGACTTAGTACTCCCTGAAGACCACCATATTTGGAGCATGTGCCACAAGGTTTGGACATGATTTAAATTTACATTAAGCAACTGAGCAAAAAAGGTCCAAAGCTAATACGAGTCTAAACAATGGAGAAAAATCTGTTCAAGGGTTTCAGGCGCACTGCGACATTGTAGACAAACCGAAGGCATGGCTTGAATTCCCAGCTCGCAAACAACTTCAGCAACTGGCAGAAACTTATTAATCAGCTTCCAAAGGAAGAAAGAAATGCGGAGAGGTATAAATCGATGCCAAACATTCTTCAAGGTTACTTCCGTTCGACGTCGCGCGCGGAAAGCATGTATGCTGTTTTAACAGAGAAAATTCCAGACGGCTCCGGCTTCCAAATCAGCTCATCTTCACCCGATTCAAAGTTCTGATCATGTGTAGCAAGATTGTGCAAGATTTCAGGCGATAGCCTGTCATGGAGCTCATCCAGCAAAACTTGTTTTTGATAAAAAAAAAAAAAAAAACTCTTTGATAGTAAGATCAGGCCGCGGAGGAGTTTCAGATGGGATATTCCAAATAATTCCAACCTGGGACCAGTTATCATACCAAAAGCTTCTTTCTCCATTTTTCACAATTATTTTTGAGTAAGGGGCGGCTTCAAAGGCAACTCTCTGAACTCGATTCCATGAAGTTCTTTGCCTTGCTGAAGGAGATTAAAGATTGTATAAATTGCACCCATAAACCATTCCCTTTTTGCCATTTCCACCACAATTTGGCCGAAAACGCTTTGAGAGTATCTCCAAACTTCCTGACCCTGAGACCGTTTTCCAGAAAGGGGTAAGTCAACCGATTCCAAGATCTCCAATGTCGCTTGCCCTCCTCCGATCCTTCCCAAAGAAATCTCTGATTTAATAATGGAAAAGTATTTATTTTCAACAATTGGCCTTGGTTCAAAACCTACTATCAGTAGCGGAACTAAGATAAAAATTCACAGGAGCCACATATATATGAAATGTGAAAATGAGGAAAATATTTTTTTAGTATTGTAATGATTTTCACATTTAATGATTATCTTGGGAAGGAAAGAATACTATTTATGACAACATTTTTACTCAATATCATTTCAAACAAAAATAAAACTAAACATTATGAGAATTCTTTTCCTTAAAGAAAATAAAAAATTAGATGGCCTAGTGAAAATCGAACCATCGACATCCGGATAATAACACTATTAAAAAAATAAGATATGCTCATGAAGAGTCTTCATCATTTTATAATATTTTAAAACCATTCCCACAATTATTCTCACTGTCTTACTCCTATAATTTTTTCCATCAATATAGAAAAAAAAATACCAAAAACTAATTTACATTTCAAATAGTCAAAACCTTAAAATTTGTAGGCATATTACATAGAATTATAATATTGAATCAAGGAGTCAAATAAAACTTTTTAAACATGATAAATTCAATTATATAAATTTTATTATCAAAATAAGAGAGATTACTCCTAACTTATTATTAGAGAATAAAAAAATAAAATGAAATATGTAGAGGGGCTAGCTTGACATTGTCGGTGGTGGTTCCTTTAGGAGAACATGGGGAAAAAATGGGCCACTGCTGCTTTATGAGTGATACAAAAACTGAATTTTCAATTCTTAAAAACAAAACGAAAAAAAAAAAACTTGAATTAGGAGAGTTTCATGGATCAAGGATTACTCAGTTAATAGCAATAAAGCAAAAACATAGTACGTAGTAATGAAAGCTTTAACGTAAGTAAAGAAGAAAAAAAATAATATATGTATATATAGGATCCAGGCCGGGTCCAACGAGAACCATGGCCCCCTGGACCCCCACCGTGGATCCGCCAG